CTTTCCCCCGCATGGCTGGGGTCATCAAGGCGGCAGAGCGAGCGTGTGGTGCGGCCCGCTTGAGGAGCCCCTCGCCCATCATAGAGCGAAGGTTGGCAAGGCATCACCACCAATCGACGATGAGCCAGCAACTGATGGTGGTATTGCTGGTGGGGCGGAGCCTGACCTCTCGGTGGCAGGTCGGACATGTGTTGCTGGTGCGGTACAAACGATCAGGAGATATCTTCTGGCTTGTCAATAAAGCACTAGACGATGTGCGAGACGGTGAGCTGGTTGTTTGCACTTGTTGACAGTCTGCATTGCGGTGGGACATCCATGGTGGGGTGCACAAGTACATCACAGAACTTAAAGTCAGGGTTGGATATTGTAGGACAGACAACTCTCTAGACACGCTGCGCTCCCAAGCTGCGCACTCAGTCCTGGACTCATGGAATTCCACTTTCCAGGATCCAACTTACTGGGGCTCTGAATTCTTAGAGCTTCAACAGCCTGACGGGCGGCCGCTACAGCCATCGTACCTTAATGGGGGACCTTGGCTTTCAACCTTCGGACACAGTATTACTGAGTTTGCTCACGTTAGCTGGTGTATAACCGGCCATGCGCCCATTGGAGCATACTACCAACACTTCAAGGTCAACGAGCCTCACGGCTGCACTTGCGGGGCTGCATTGCAGTCTTGCCAGCATGTCCTCTTTCGCTGCCGCGATCGATGTTCTGTACACTACCCCCATTTTCTCAGGGATATTGCATTGTTTTTGAAGCACAACCCTATGGCGTTTGGCTTCAGCCAGGACCCATCAGGTGTCAGATAATTGTTGTGGGTGGGGTTGTTCCTCCTTTTGGGGGATTTATTGGTGAATTGACACCCTCAAACCTTAGGGTTCGGAGACCTGCACCCACCGCTATTTCTTCACGCTTGCAGCTGCTATTATAGCGGGTTGTGGCACCGCTAACTTTCTGCGTCTGGTTTTGGGCAGGCGCTTCTCTGGCTGGTCAGCCTCAAGACACCCTGCCACCTCCCGGGTGGTGCTGTTTTATCTCATTTGCGCTGTGTGGCCTCCGAACAGCGTTCGACACCGTTGAGGTTTAGCAGGGCCTCGATGGTCTCTTCCCCTTATCCCACGTCACCGTTTTTGCGAGGTGGGTCTGGCTTTGTGGGAGTTTAGGCGTTTGAGCCACAAGGCTCGTGGTTGGGGGGGCAGACGTCTTTTAGTAGTTTACTTAGTACCCAGGCCGCGTAGTGTACGTGTTTGTAGATAGCGAGCGGCCTGCCATCGAGCACCGCTATATAAATTGTTGATCAAAAAAAAAAAAAAAAAGCCAGAGAGGCGCCTGCCCAAAACCAGACGCAGAAAGTTAGCGGTGCCACAACCCGCTATAATAGCAGCTGCAAGCGTGAAGAAATAGCGGTGGGTGCAGGTCTCCGAACCCTAAGGTTTGAGGGTGTCAATTCACCAATAAATCCCCCAAAAGGAGGAACAACCCCACCCACAACAATTATCTGACACCTGATGGGTCCTGGCTGAAGCCAAACGCCATAGGGTTGTGCTTCAAAAACAATGCAATATCCCTGAGAAAATGGGGGTAGTGTACAGAACATCGATCGCGGCAGCGAAAGAGGACATGCTGGCAAGACTGCAATGCAGCCCCGCAAGTGCAGCCGTGAGGCTCGTTGACCTTGAAGTGTTGGTAGTATGCTCCAATGGGCGCATGGCCGGTTATACACCAGCTAACGTGAGCAAACTCAGTAATACTGTGTCCGAAGGTTGAAAGCCAAGGTCCCCCATTGAGGTACGATGGCTGTAGCGGCCGCCCGTCAGGCTGTTGAAGCTCTAAGAATTCAGAGCCCCAGTAAGTTGGATCCTGGAAAGTGGAATTCCACGAATCCAGGACTGAGTGCACAGCTTGAGAGCGAAGCGTGTCTATAGAGTTGTCTGTCTTGCGACGTCCAACCCTGACTTTAAGTTCGGTGACGTACTTGTGTGCACGGGTATCTCAGGGATGGTCGATCTATGCTAAAGGTCACCTCCATCGTCCGAGCCTATGACAGTTTGTCATTGGTCACCCCCGCTGTTGCCAGCCCGTCCGACTTGGACATTCTGCGCAACTTCACCCGCAAAAGCCTCCCAACGGGTACTCCGTTCGAGGTTGCCCTCCCGTCGTCGACATCTTTTATAAAGATACTCGATGTTCCTTACTTTGATCCAAAAGGGTTAAAGATCACCCAGGAGGCGCTCGAGAAGGCCCTCTGCACCTCGGTTCACGCTGAGGTCTTCGCATATCTGAGCACCAAGCCTCGGATCGACCGCAACTCGGCGCACTCGACATCGTGCACCGTATACTGCAACATCTGGGATTCCCAGCAAGGAACCCATGCCAAGAAGGCTTTAGGCCAACCGATCTTCCTCGCTGGGCGATCCTGTGCAATCAGGCCTGCCGCGCGTCACACCGGGGTCCCGCTATGCCAGCGCTGCTGGACAACTCAGCATGTGGGATGTTGCAAGGGCAACGCGAAAGCAAAACCCCCTGTGCCGCCCACCCCTCGCAACCAGCCCTGCCCCCATAACGGCCGCTGTGTCAATTGCCACAAGGACCCCGCTGCCAACTCAGCATCGTGCAAGTTCTGGGCCCATCGCTACAACCGTGAGTGGATCATGGCTGAGTATTGTCAGGTATGTGAGCATGCTGCTCGCCGCCAACTTACTAACCCCCGAACCTAGACCAATGTTGGGAAACCTTCAGGATCTAAGTAGTGGGTTACATATTTATTGTCAGAACGTTCACCATACCTATGCCCACATCGATACACTTCTCGAAATTTGTAAAACCAAATTTGATATTCTATTTTTCCAAGAAACCCCTTGGAATTTCATAAGGCATGCACCATCCACCACTACTATGGAGGGCGATGAGGTTATCGGCGCACCAAAGCATCCTGATTGGCTGCAAATGGTGCGCATCAAGGAAGGGGAAGTTCGCCATGTGATTGCCTATGTTTCGACTAGGCTATCCCGCTATCGTCCTGCTATGCGCCGTGACATTGTCGACCATCGCGACATCCTCGTCCTCTCCCTCTTTAGTGGGGGTGAGGTTCTTAACTTAATGAACATCTATTCTGACAATCAACACACAGCCATTGAGCACCTCACTGCTCATGTGCATTCTCTACCACCTTTCATCTATATGGCTGGTGACTTCAACTGCGTGTCGATGACTTGGGATGACTATGAGCATGGCGAGTCGTCAACAGCAATATCCTTGCGGGATACCGCATCTCAGATCGGCCTCGAGTGGGCACGACCTTCTAACCATGGACCGACGAGAATCAGTCCTAATCCAAACCAGAGATCCAATGTGTTGGATCTTGTATTCTTAGCTCCATCTGAGATCTTAATCTCAATGCCCAGATTGGAGCACGATCTCCAGGGTCCGTCAGATCATGTCCCGATCTGCACAGATCTTGATATTGGTCCCGAACCGCCCGGATCTGGGTGAAGGACAATTAAACCCGGAAGCGAGGCTGAAAGTCTTTCATTTTGGATATTCTCCGGGATCTTGCAGCTATTCCTGTTGCAGCCCTGGCAACCAAGGAAGGCCTTGAAGCTTTAGCCAATGCTATCGCGACAGCGTTCTCGGACGCATAGCTTGCCCATTCAACCGAGTCCAAACCTACCAAGCGCTCCAAGTCCTGGTGGACGGACAAGTGCTTGGAGACATTTGGAGTATATCAGTTGAGCCATTCGCTCGCTGACTACAACAAGTTTAAGAAGGCGTGTAAAGATGCCAAGCGTGATTTCTTCGATGAACACATCGCAGAGATCGCAACCTCTCGCAAGCGCCCATGGGACCTGATGGAGTGGGTCAAACAGCGCAAGCTACCACCCTGTGAGGCTATTTGCAATGGCGATCAGCCTTGCCATGATATGGACGACCTCTGGGACGCCCTGCACGGCACGTACAACTCGGCCTCGGGTCGTGAGTACGACACTTCAGTATTAGACGAGCTTCCCGACGAGCTGGTCCGTGAGTGGGCTGACTTCTCGGAGCATGAGTTGTTGAGTGCCCTCAAGGGGTGCTCCAACTCCTCTGCACCAGGACCAGACCATGTTACATGGGTCCACCTAAAGGAGCTGCTCAAGGATAAACACGTCCTTGCACTCTTTTGTTTTTTTTTTTTTTTCAACAATTTATATAGTGGTGCTCGATGGCAGCCCGCTCGCTATCTACAAACACGTACACTACACGGCCTGGGTACTAAGTGAACTACTAAAAGACGTCCACCCCCCCAACCACGAGCCTTATGGCTCAAACGCCTAAACTCCCATAAAGCCAGACCCACCTCGCGAAAACGGTGACGTGGGATAAGGGGAAGAGACCATTGAGGCCCCGCTAAACCCCAGAGCCGTCGGACGCTGTTCGGAGGCCACGCAGTGCAAATGAGATAAAACAGCACCACCCGGGAGGTGGCAGGGTGTCTTGAGGCCGACAAGCCAGAGATGCGCCTGCCCGAAACCAGACGCAGAAAGTTAGCAGCGCCGCGACCCGCTATAATAGCAGCCGTGAGTGTGAAGAAATAGCGGTGGGTGCAGGTCTCCGAACCCTAAGGTCCGAGGGTGTCAATTCACCATAAATCCTCCAAAAGGAGGAATAACCCCGCCGAGGCGATTATCCGACCCCCGAAGGGTCCCGGGTGAAGCCAAACGCCGTAGGGTTGTACTTCATAAAAGCTGCAATGTCCCCAAGAAATCGGGGGTAATGCACGGAGTAGCGATCGCGACAGCGAAAGAGAATATGCTGGCAGGACTGCAAAGCAGCCCTGCAAGTGCAGCCATGAGGCTCATTGATCTTGAAGCGATGGTAATACGCTCCAATGGGCGCGTGGCCAGTTATACACTGGCAAACGCGGGCGAACTCAGTGATACTGTGTCCAAAGGTTGAAAGCCAAGGTCCCCCATTGAGGTAAGATGGCTGTAGGTTTGTAAGCTCTAAGAATTCAGAGCCTTCGTAGGTTGGATCCTGGAAAGTGGAACCCCACGAATCCAGGACTGAGTGCGCGGCTTGGGAGCGCAGCGTGTCTATAGAGTTGTCCGTCTTGCGGCGTCCAACCCTGACTTTGAGTTCGGTGATGTACCTGTGCGCTTCACCATGGATGTCCCACCGCCAAGCGGATGGAACGTAGACGAAGGTGATGCGGCGGAGATCATCCGCCTCAAACCACTCTTGGAGAGCGCGACAAACTGACAGGCTAAAGGCCTGACCAGAGTGCACGGAGGGGTCGACCGCTCTATGGGCCGAGCCCATAGAGTCAGTAAAGACCATAATATGTTGGCAGTTAGCCTGCTTGACAGCAAGGCGCACTGCACACGAGATGGCATTGAGTTCCGCATCTGGGGCGGTAACTCTGCCAGAGACATAGCAAGTCCTTTCGAGCTCGCGGTGTCCCTTGTAGATGATGGCAGCCGAAGTGGCCTGATATTGATTGGACTGAGGGACGGAGCCATCAGTTGCAGCCAGTACTGTTAGTGGGTCGGCCCTCGCTTTCGCGATGAGCTCGTCAAGGTATGGGCGCCTATCCTGAGTGGGATCACGTTGTCAAAGTGGAGATGGTCCGCATAGCGGTCCAATAACCGATCACCTGGGCGAGCTTCGGGCGCAAAGGGCTCGAAGCTCTCAGTTAAGGTGTGGAAGCACTCGTCCACCTCCATGACAGTGCTCTTGACTTTCCCTCGCATGGCTGGGGTCATCAAGGTGGCAGAGCGAGCATGTGGTGTGGCTCACTTGAGGAGTCCCTTGCCCATCATAGAGCGAAGAGGGTGGGTGTCTGAGAGGGTGGCTACGCGATACACTGCACAGGTTGCCAGCTTCTTCAGCATAAGATGGACGGGGATGAGACCTGCTAGGGCCTCGAGACCGCCTGTGGGTGAGGTGCGGAAAGCACCTGTAATCCATAGAGCAGCTTTTCGCTGCATCCGTTTCAACTGGTTCATCGCGCCCTTATTACGGGCGCCATCAAAATACCAGAGACGATAGCCGTATGTGGC